ATATGTGGGAGTAACTCATGACAGCATATACAGTAAGAGGCCAGCTCCCATTATTTCAGTTAAAATAATGTTACATTCTGTTGTATTAATTCCCCTATACTCCCCTTCCCATCTAATCTACTATTTCCCTGTGGAATCTATCAAAAGATTGCAGGAGTTTTCTTTTGCTTTTGAATTAAATGAAGAGAAAGGTACTGTACAGGTACAATCTGAAAACAATTCAAATAGTACAGGACCATATAGTGCAATTTAATAATATAATTACAACTACAATATGTCAATACAAAGGGTAAAAATTGTGTGAAAGTAAATTGGTCTTGCATTTATTTAGCATAACTTAACTACTTCTAAGCAGGCTTTTGCAGACAGCAACTGCTCCAGTGTCCTGCATCTTACAAGCATGCAGCTACCTGCTCCTGCAAGATCCCACTGTTGCTAGTAGCAAATTGGGATTGGTGATCAAATGGAAAGTTAATAATCATGAACAGATTTTTGCTTAAAATTCCTTCATGTTGCTCCTCTTTTGAAAAAAGAGCAGTATAAACATTAGTAACAATTGTTAAAGACTCTCCATTCTGAGAGTTCTGCTAATTTCAGAGCAAAATTTGGCTGTAGCAGGATAAGCCTAAATCATGTGTTAATTCCAGATTAACAAATCTTTATAAGGAGATGTGCGCCAATAATTAATAAATATTCTCTGGGTGGCCATTAAGTATAAAATAAGGTTTTGTTAGCCCAACTGGTGGGAGCAGCTAACCAATCTTGGCAAGATCAGAACCTGATTCGTACTTGATGGGTGAGCATCAGAAAAACTCAGGGCCGTAGCTGAGACTGGGTAGTTGAAAAAACAAGCCACACGAAAGCCGTGACAAACCGTCACTTTGGTACTGTTAAAAAAATAAACAATCTGGGATGTGTCTCTGAAGTCACCAGAGCTTGAGGGAGTCCCTGTTTTGAAATGTTTCTTCTAACTCGGAAGTAAGGAAGGCTAAATGCATATTCAGTGACAAGGCTGAAAGTGTGGAAAATGAAACTAGACTTTCCTGTGAATAACTCTAATTTATGTCCTGAAAATCTCAGAGGATACCATGCTGAAGAATATAATAAAATAATTTATCAATGTAGGGAGTTGTTTGTCTGTCTGTCTGTCTGTCTATCTCAGCTTTAAATAAATCTTAATCACTTTAGTTTTATTCTAAAGTACTTCTTATTTATTGTTACTTTTCTAATATGTTCTTCATGTGAATTACAAAATTACTGAAATCAGTAGACAAAGGGAAAACACTAATTACAGAAAAAAAGGTTATATTCAAAATAAGCCACTATTCCAGTATAATGTTGGTACTTAATTTTTTTTTAAATTATATCTACATCCTGTTCTATTGAGAAATGAATTTAACCAATTGAGGAAGCTTCCTAGGAATTATTACTATGCAAGATTAATAGAGGATTGTGAATATCACTTGAAATCCTGATCCCTATATACATCAGACATCAAGTTTTGACAGTTGACCTGTAAGACACTAAGGTTGCATCTTGTCCAAGATAGACTCTTGTACATGGATTGCAAGTTATAGCATGTCTTTTCTTTTGATTGTTAAGTTAAATATCCTGAAAGGATCTGAGTTGGTAGCAGTATTATTCACCTTATTTTTTTCTCTCTCTGAAAAGGGAGAGTGACATTTCTTCAAGTGGTTTTTCTACAGATACTTCATGTTAGATAAAAAATATTTATCAAATATTTCTTGTGTAGCAATAATTATATCTTTGTTTAGTTAATCTGAATAGCTTTCTTTAAAAATGTGTAGAGAAACTTAGAGTACTAGAAGGAAACCCCAAGACTACAATGAATTATAAACACTATCACAACAACTCTACTCATTCACATCAGAAGGAATAAATAAATGTAAAAATTCTGCAAAGAGGTGTGATTTAAGCAGGCAACAAAAATATTGAAGCTACTTAACTCACTTCAAAATGCTAAGAATTCCATAGCTTTGGTTCCGTAGGCAATAATACTCTAGGACCAGAGAACTGAGGAAAGAATCATTCTTGAAATTCCAAAAGAGAACGAGTTTAAAAAGTGGAGCAGTCTCTAACAGCTAGTCCTAAGCCATCATCAGAGATTTCCTGTACAGGTAGTCCTCACTTAACAACCACAGTAGGGACCGGAAAATTGGTTGTTAAGTGGGGTGGTGGTTAAACAAGTCACCACATGACCGGAGCCAATTTTACAACCATTTTTATGATGGTCATTAAGTGAATCACATGGTCGTTAAGCAAATTGCATGGTCGCTAAGCGAATCCAGCTTCCCTAATGGACTTTTTTGCTGGAATTTGCTTAACAACCATGCAATTCACTTAAGGACCTCAGTGATTTGCTTAACGACCGCCATAAAAAAGGTCGCAAATCATGTTCATGTGACCACGGGGGATGGTGTGATGGTTTGTGATGGTTGTAAGTGCGAGTACAGGTTGTAAAGCACTTTTTCATTGTAACTTCAAACCATCGTTAAACAAACAGTGGTTAAGCGAGGACAACCTGTATTAAAGAAAGAAAAAGTAGCTGAGCAATCAGGAGGAAAAAAAATCCAAAGTCCATATTTGGAAAAAAGTGTGGCATAAAAATAAAATAAGACAAAGTGTTTAGATTGACAGAAGGGTACAAAATAAAATTATCAAAAATCAAGCACAAGTTGAGGGAGTTTTTCACTGTTTATCAAAGATAAAGATATTGAAGGATTTTCCTTATAAACACAGGTAGTCCTTATTCACCAATGATTCATTCAGCGACTATTCAAAGTTATGATGGCACTGAACGAGGGGACCTATGACTATTCTTTGTAGTTGTGGCCGTCACAGTATCCCCAGAGTCACATGATAGTGATTCAGGCACTTGGCAACCACCTTGCAATTATGATGGTCACAACGTCCCGTGGACAACCTTCGCTGCTGGCTTCTGACAAACAAAGTCAATGGGGAAGCCAGCAGGAGGTTGTAAATGGAGATCATGTGACATTGCACTTGACTGCACAGGATTCGCCTAATGATGGCAACTGGATGTGGCGCAACTGTCACCATAAGTCGATGCAGTCACGTGACATTGTGATTTATGACCACATTGCTTAGCGACGGAGTTGCTGGTCCCAATTACTGTTGTTAAGTGAGGACTACCTGCATTCGCTTCTCTTTGATTCTCAGGTTATTTGGGATACCATCTTTGCGACTAAGAGTAGATTTATTTTAAGTCTAGAAGGAACAAGTAAGAGCTGATGAAAAAATAGGAGCTGTATGTACTGATATTATTGATCTCAAAAAGTAGAATTAATGCCAAATTACAGTGTTCTGTCACAATATTACTTTTATCTATGACCTGGTCCATATATTGTATTAATCATGGTTTAATCAACAATGGTGACTTGAATAAACTATAACTTGCACCACTACATCATGCCAAGCCACTAACTATGATTAAGAATGCCATGGCTTGGCTCACACAAGGTATTAAGTGGAAACAAGTCACATTAAGATTTAATGTGATGAGTGAATCTGGCCTGAGTCTTGACTGGGTTGGATTTTTAGTTCACAGTAGTCTTTTATTTATTTATTTGGGGGGCAGGCAGCTGTGCACATTTAGACAGTCATCCCTTCAGCACAATGCCTAACTAAATGATCCTTAATAAATTATTACTCAGAAGAGAGTGGTTTCTGGGAGAGGGCCGCTGGGTCAATATCCCTCTTCCTTGTTGGGGAGAGAGTTTTAACTTGGATAAACTTTAAGCTGTCTGATTAGTGTTCAAGTTGGATATTGTTGTGAATATGTTTTCTGGTTTTTATTTATTACATTTTTATCCCACTGTAATCCAAACTGATTCTCAGCTGTGAACTGGTGAATATTTTTATCTATTGTGTCATTTATATTTCTCTGCTTACATTAGTTTTTATCTTTTATTGTTCATGGCTTCAAGAGATTTTTAGAAATGGCAACAGAGAAAGTGAAGGGGATTCACACGTTTCAGTCCCAGTGACTGAATTTGCACATTATACTTAGCCCCAAACTCATCTTTATACATTAACATGATGCATTAGCCCATCTACCAACTAAAAAGGACCACCATAAATTATTTCTGTAACTTGCAGCAGTGAAATCAATAAAGTTCTGATGCTGGAAGTTTGCTAGAGGCACTCACCTGGAGAAAGAAAATAGCTGAGTGGCAGAGTGCAACTTGTGTGCAAAAACTTTCATGCTGGCACCCCAGGACTTGTGTGAAGCCATGAGGAACAGCTGTCAGTCCTTATAGACACAATACTGAGTTGGATCAACCAATGGTCTGACTTGGTGTAAGACAATTTCTTATGTTTATATGAATTTCCCTAGTGTTTGAGCACATTCATGCAGCTTAGTCAGAAGCCTGATATTCAGGTCCAGATCAAAATGCTGAAAAGATGCCTTAGGGAAATGTTTGCTCTACCAGATTTGTTTTTTAAATCATTTGTTGAGGCAAGAGGCTGGGTGTGAGTAGATATGAAACAGAGAGAGTTGAACTCTCTTATCTTGCGTGAATTCATAAGACTGAACTCAGTTCTGAACAAGGAATTTTCCAGGTTAACATCATAACAATTGTGCAACACTTGTTTCTTATAGGCATTGATCTCTGACTTCAGGGGAATGCTACTATCTGTAACTGAAGACAGAAACTCTGTGAAATGTCTAACTTTGCAAAGGAGATGAAAAATAGAATTACTGTTGAGTTCTTGGTGTCTCTGGGTGGTTTTGTCCCATGATATCTGTAGGTCATAAGGTTTGGAAAGTTGTTTTAGAGAATAAGAAAAGAAGAATGAGAAATTTTTATAAGCTGTTAGTTGAAAAATCTCTAACTAGACTTTCACAGTGCACATGTTGACTGACTATTTGTAGACTGTTACGTTGTATGTATTTCAGTCATACTGTTTAAGATCAACAAATAACCCATCCTAAAATGCTGGTTCGTTCCTCCTAGATTGTGTGCTGTATACTATGGGATGGGTGAAGAAGAGAACAGATACACATCTCAGCTCAAGGATGTGTATGACAGCTGTGACACCACAGGCACTGGGTATTTGGACAAGGAGGAGCTGACTGAACTGTGCCACAAACTACATCTGGAAGGACAGCTCCCCTTACTTCTGGAAACACTTTTGGGGAATAATCACTTTGCCAGAGTAAGTAACTGCAGGGCTTCTGCATCTGAATATTGCATTCTTGGATACCCAGCACAGCATCCTTTTGGCATTTAGTTTAAAGCCACATCTTTTTTCTCCCTTCTCCTCCTCATTCACTTTTTAAAATCCAGTTCTTGATATTTTCAATCCCATCAGATCCTCCCAAACACAAGCATTCTGACATACTAGTGGCATTACCAGGGCTTCAAAGCTATATGAAAGGCCACCAGGTTGGAGCTAATATAATCTCCAGGGGGACGATGTTCCAAAGAATATGCACCACAACAGAAAAGACTCTCTTTCTGGGTCCCGCAAATGACTAAAGCATGAGTAACCGTAAGCAGAGTCTCTTGGTCCAGGAATGGGCGCAATTGGTACACAACATGAAACTGTGCAAAAGCCCTCCTGGCCGCAGCTATCATCTGTTCCTCAAATAGGAGCCCTGAGTTCAGGAGGACTCCCAAGTTGTGCACAGGTTCTGTTCAGGGAAGTGCAACCCTGTTCAGAACTAAGAACGGAGAATCCTTGGAACCTGGAGGCCCTAAAATCCAGAGCTACTCAGTCCTCATCTAGAATCCTACAGCCTCCAGATACCAAGAAAGAGCCTCTAGAACATTGCTTGGTTGGACTGGAGATATAAAAATGGATATCATCTGCATACTGGTGATACCTCACCTGGTGCCATCAAATGATTTCACCCAGCGGCTTCATGTAGATATTAAACAGGAATGGGGAGAGTGACAAACTGGTCCCAGAGGCTTAGCATGTTGGATTAACCCAGCCACAGACACAAATGGTAAGACTGACCCTGATGTGTTTTGCTATATTGGCTGGGCCAATCCCAGTGTTCTATATAACTTTTTAGAGGGTATTTGCTTTGAGACAGTACTCAAAAACATGGTTGGGAGGACTGGGATTAAATATTATTTTCTCATCTTCCTCTGGAATCAAGGAGAGGAGCTCAGATGTTTCTATTTCTACTTAGTGGCAAATTATACTATATTATATTATTTGAGTTAAATGGCCACCCAGCTGTTTGTTGCATTTATATAGTAATGCAAATGAAAGTGTGTTGCTATCTAGAATTAGAAGCTTCTAATCCCCTTCTCTTTCTCATAAGAAATGAGGAAAAGAAGTACTTCAGCCTGGAAGTTGCCATACTTTCCACTGATTCCTGTAAACCATGGTTGGGGTGGGAGGATTGTCTGCAGGCTGTGTGTGTGTGTGTGTGTATGTTATTTTGGAAACAGTAATGTCAGCCAATTTCTTTTGGTGAAGAACTTAAGACCCATTCTTTACAAGGCTGGGACTGGGTTTGTACTATTCAGACTAATATCTTGTGTACAGAAATGTATAATCTTCCTCACTGTTTCTCAGCCAAGAGCTGTAAATAACTGCCTTTTTTCTCTCCTTTCTCTTCTAAATTGTGATCTGGCTTGTAGAAGTTGCAAGAAGCCTGAAACAAGTTCTGTTGTGCTGAACAAAAGCTGTCCTCTTGAACTGACTGAGCTAATTGTCCCCATACATAGGTATCATCCAAACACTGCTGTAAGCAGAAGTAAACTGATTAATATTTCCAGTATGTCTACAGTGCTCCCCAGAGTCTGACTTCACTTTCTTGCTACAAAGAATAAGCAAAATAGATCTGACTGATGGTACCCTAGGTGTCCCTAGCAAAAAGAAGGGAAATTGTCCGATGGAATGAAAATTGCATTGGGAAATGAGTAGTATTAATGTCTTTTCAAGCAACTTTCAGACCAATGGATTATTTTAATAAAAAGTATCAGTAATTGTGTAGCAATAGATATGCAGACTGGATGCATTGCTGCCATAGGAAGTCTCAGCATCTAGCTTATGATGTGATATGGTATGATCCCTTTAACTATACAGTATAACTAAACTGAGGATTTGTCTTTGAAAATGCAAGAAACAAGTCTTCCCCTTGAAATACTGGTAACTGAAAGCCAGACTGAATAAACTTAGTTGATGGACTTTCCAGCTTTTGAACATTTCTGGTAACCAAACTACAGAATAATGGTGGGAGTGACTCAGAGCAGAGCAACCAGTGGTCCTTTTCTAGTCATCCAGTTTATTTGTCCACAAATAAATATGGAATCTATAACTGGTTTGCATAATATACTAAACCAGTTGTGATGCTGATCATGAGAAAGGTACCCAGTGTTGATGTACTAGAAGATGTGGCAAATCCTGCATCTGGCACAGAGTTAGGAGAGCAGAGATGTTGTGGCCATCATGACTCCATTTTGCAGCTGCCCGTCTCCCATCTTTACATCTGGAAGCTGGAAAGAAAATGTAATTTAAGACAAGCAACCCTACTCAAGCAAGATCTAACTATGTTATGGCTTAGTGTGTTTGTATGAATCAGATCTTAATCTTTATGAGGTCTCATGAAACAACAGGAAACTATACTCACATTTTTTCCCCCTATCTGACCTCTGCAATGTGGTTACACACCACTGTGGCTTGGCTTTCCTGCAGCATAAACAATATTTGAATTCATGTGATTACTGCAAGCTATACCTTGATTCCCTTGTTGAAGCTGCTGTGAGTAGTAAACACTGGTGCCTGAAACCCTACAGGACTTTATTATCAGGAGAGAGGAGAAGTTCAATGTATGTTAATTAAGAATTACAAAAGACTCTGTAGTGCAAAGGTAATATCTAGTAGTAGTACAAATTAGTTTTGCCATAGTTCCCCTTGTAAAACTATGGTTTATATATGAGTAAGTTTTGAACTGATTAACTGAAAGTAAGATTGTGCCTGAGGCCTGGGATTGTCCTGCTTCCTGCTAGCTTACTTTCTCTTCTCCCATGTGGTGTTACATGTGCTCCCAGGTTCAGCTTATGGTCACTCACTCACACACTTAAACCCTTTTGAGGCACACAGATCTTGTAAGCCTCCCTTGCTTTCTATCTGGGTTCTCCAGATAGGCGCAGCTAGAGCAGATAAATGCACAGCTTTGGTCAATAGCTGGAAAATAATTAGGGACACATACAAATCGCTTTCAACCAAAGACTGAGGCATCTCAGGCTCTTTGGAATACATGGAGACCCAGTGAATTTAAAGTACAGTAATACCTCGGTTCACGAACGCTTCGGTTCGCGAACAGCGTTCGCAAATTTTTCTTCCATTCGCAAACCCTGCATCGGGTGACGAACACAGCCCGCGGCCATCTTCCCTGCTCTGACACGTGGTCGTGGCTTCCTCTAGGCGAGATCGCAGGCGCAGACAGACAGTTGCTGTGTAGCTTTTTGGTGTCGCCTCAAGCAATGTTAGTGTTCTCTTTCTTTGTACTT